GCAATGTTTTACCATTTTAACTTGGAGCTATATTCAGTTAAACTGTGATGGCTACAGAGATACGTTTAATATCAATTTCTAACTTTGCCCATGAAATAGGTTGGAATCAATGTTCCTATTCCAGTTCCCTTGCCCTTTTTCTCTTTTACTGGCAACAAGGCATCTTTTGCAGGAGATTTGAATTTCTACGGTAAAATATTTATCACCTCTTACGCAAACTTGTTATGATAATAGCAATATTTTCTCTCGTTTCAATAGTTTAATTGTTCAAAAGCTGGTTGTATACAATAAATTACCTGGATTTGGTAAATTGTAAGAGTTTGTTTGCTCTGAATTACAGGCAAAGCTGGTGTTAACTTTTTCACACAGATCAAAACAGTTACTCAGCAATGGAAGAATCTACCAGGCAGCAGTGTGGTTAATCTCGCAATGCCAACTTCTCAAAAGGCATAGTTTCCTTCATTACAAATGCCCCTTTCTGGAACTCGTCTCAACATTACAATAAAATCAATGTCAAGTTCTTCAATATATTTGCTTTCTTCCGCATTTGTTTCTGTTTTTTTTTCCTTTCAAAGGTTGTAGTGCAGCTTACATCACAAGATTTGCACCATATTCTGGTGCTTCGTACCGTTTGAGGTGAGATCCCTTGATAATCTCACTATGGCAGTGCACGTTACAAAGATTGCAAGACAAAGTTCACTCGTTGGAAATTTGGAACTTCATCTTGGTTCTTTTGTTCGGTTTTCACCTTTTTCTTCAAACTTGTGACACGGTCCTTTTCATTCCATTGTTGGATGCCCTTGATGCCCAATATCAGTGAGATTTTAGAAAAACGTAAAATGTCAATTTTGTGATCTTCGCTCGGTAGTGATGATAATATATAAAGAGATAGAGGTAGGGAAGCAAATACAAGATGTACGTGGTTCATCCTAAGTTTGGCTACGTACACGGGGTTGAAGAGTTGAGTTCTCATTAATAGTGAAGAGGTTACACAATAAGTAGGTTCAAGGGTTCAATGTTATGTTCACGGGATTGAGGAGTTCTCATTAATAGTGAAGAGGTTACACAATACATAGATTAAAACATAATCCTCATTGGTGAGTTCTAATGACAATTTTAAATACAGTAATGAGATTAGGGATTAATTGTAGGAGAATGATCTCCTTTTATATTTGAGGAGAGTATCCGGCTCTCGTCCACGGTCGATGTGGGATTTTAGGAGTTTTATTCTGACGTTGACATGTGTCGTTCTGTGATTGGTCTCTTAGTTGGAGGAAAATACTTGTGCTTCGTGTACCTCTCAGTGGGTCCTTGAAGATATAAAGTTGACCGGTGCTTAGTAGTTGCGGAATTGGTCAAGTATGGTACTAACACACCATCTTTGGATTTATCAGAATTCTTTGAAGTCTCTCGTTCTACTATTTCCGGGCTCCTCATTAGGCCGATGAGATTGCTTTGCAGTTGAAGCCGGTGTAATTTGTGGCGTAAACGCCTTGTCTACTGCTTTCAGTACCACAATCTGCCTAGTGTTTTGTGGACTACAAGTCTAGAAGACGATCATTCCACTAAAATGTGACATAACGTTTTATAGCATTATCATTGGAAATAATTAATCCTGAAATAATAATCCGTTTATTCGCTCGTCCATTGTTGGGCAATGTGCACTCTCCAATGTTGAACATGTTCGTCACTAGTGTCGGTTTTGTATGACTAAATAATCGTCTGATTCATTGTAGAAGTGAGGTGCCTTTTTTTACTATTTTTAACCGTTAAATTAAATAAATAAAAGTGAATTGCAAAATAAAATCAGGATAAACCTAAAACTACCAAGAGAGAGAGTCAAGACCACTAATCTAATTCGGGTCAACTGGAGCTCTACCCGGGCCAACCAGACCCGTGTCCGCAGTCAGTAACAGTAACGCAGCACGCACACCGTTACTCACATTGCGTTTGCTTTGCCTTGAGAATATGAATGCTCTTGGCGGTGGCGGCTATGGCGGCCTCTGGGGTTGGAACTCCTCATCACCCAGAAAACCCAAGCAGCCAAGAAGACGCCCATTCGATTCCAAATCCCAGTCCTCCTCCAATTCCAATTCTGTGGACGCAACCGGAAGAGCCCGTCACTGGTTCCCCTTAATGCAAGCCGCCACGGCTGGCTCACTGGCTCTGACGGGAGATACAATTGCTCAGCTCACACAGCGCTGGAGAAAAGCAGAGGCGGAAAACCAACAGGTTTGTCTAATTTAACGTCTCTCTCTTGGCTTTATTTAGCTGCTTGGTTCCTGAGAAAATGTAGGATAAAGGTAAATCTTGGAATTTTATGATGTGTTTGGTTGCTCAGAATATTTTGAGGGTTTATAAAGTTTGAGGCTTGGAATTATTTATAGTTGGGGTTTGGAGTGAAAAAGGACAAACTTTTCGGTATCTGGCGGTGTAAATTACTCGATCCATTTCCGTATCGCTCATGATACATATACTAACCCAGGCACTCCTTTGAAATGCATATCCCCTTTTTGCACAGCAGGGTTATGAAAATCCACAAGAAGCCACTGGCCGTATTGTATGTGCCAATTGCATTTTAGCTAATAAACCAGTGGATATCGAGGTTTGTAACTGAGAGTTGGTTGTGTATTTCTGAGTGCAGCAGCTACTTATTAATTTGCTGGAATGTTGTTTCTTGTAACTGTACCAAAGTTGGCGCGAATGCTAAACCGGTGTTCCTTGGTTGTATGTGTTGTGTTAAACTCTTGGATCTCGTTGTCTTAAACTGACTAGAAAGAACAAGTGCCTAATATGGTTGGATGGCCCTGTTAGACTACAATTTCTCAGCTTATAGGTTGTTACCCGCTAAGCTATTGCTTAGCCGAAGATTGTGGATTCAAGTTTGTAGCAGGTGAAATGATGGATCAACACTTTGGACTGTAGATCTTGAATTTCTTTTAGATTTTTGGCTCCGCTAGCGAACACAATTCTAGGTTCGAAACATATTACCATAATCCTTTTTGCTGTGACAAATCTTTTATGGGTTCTTAAGAAAAGGAAGTTGTCCATTTTCCGGGAGAACTCTTGCATGGAAATGGAAAAGAATCAGGTCTCTATTGGAAATGGTAAGATCTTTGGTGCAAGGACGAGTTGACCTGTAGCATCTTGACTGGGTTCTGTCTTCAAAGGATACCCCTCATCGATGAATAAGTGGAAAAGTTATCTTGTCAGTTTACGGCAATGTCATTCTTATATGTGGTCTCAACCAGGAAGGATGTAAACCAATTATCCAAGCATTCACTTAATTTTTTTTGGGTTATTTTTTCAAGTATATGTGACCAAACATCTCTGTGGTGCGGAGTCAAATGCTAGAAAATTCATTTATAATGGATAAGCTGTGAAGATCATGGTGTGCCTCCTAGTTGATTTGTGTGGTCCATCCGCCAAGCTTGATGACTCTTTGTAGCTCCATCAATTGGTCTTGTCTTGTCTAATCTTTATAGTTTATGGCTTGTAAGGATGCTTTGGTACATTAGTGTTTGTGTTCCTTTGAGTTTAGTGACCAAATTCTCTTTGTTAGGATGTAAAACGTGCTCTCCTCTCAGACCATGATTGGCTTCGTGCCCTGCGGATGACTTCCTATGGGTTTCTTTTGTACGGCCCTGGTTCTTATGCCTGGTACCAGTATCTTGATCATTCTTTGCCTGCAAAAACTGTGGAGAACCTACTGCTGAAGGTTCGACCTCTTTTACATCAATCTTGAGGTATTATGACTGTAAGGAACTCAGAAAAACCCCAAAATAAATTTTGAGGAAACAAAAAATGAAAGTAAGCCTAGTTTGGAAGGCATCTCACCTAATTTGGAAGGTATCTCATAGCTTTTTTCTACTTACAGGTTTTGTTAAATCAAATTGTGCTTGGTCCATGTGTGATTGCTGTTGTTTTTGCATGGAACAATTTATGGCAAGGGAAAGTGTCACAGCTTCCAGGGAAGTACCAAAGAGATGCTCTTCCCACTTTACTTTATGGTAAACTTCTTTTGATTGTTATTTGCATTCACTTTGTAGCTCAGATTTCATAAACTCATATTTTCAATTTTCGTTATATTAATTTGTGCAGGGTTTAGGTTCTGGATACCTGTCACTTTTTTGAATTTCTGGTACACCATTTTCTCTTCTGCGATTTATTTCCTCTTTTTTCCGTCTCCTTTGGTACGGGAAATTTGGCCGTGCCTCCATTAGTGCCATCATTGACAGTTGGAAATCGTTTATAAACTACTTATTTTCTACAAAGATAATGAAAGTTTTTTTGCAGTGGGTGATGGAAAAATTCTTTTCCTATAACATCATACTCTGGCATATAATTCACTTTTAAATACCAAATTAAGTGGTAGCTTTGTGTAAAAATTTGACCGGAATAGCTTTCTACAGGGTGGTTCCTCTTCAAGCTCGTGTAGCTTTCATGTCTGTGGGTTCAATTTTTTGGAACTTCTGCTTGTCTTCAACTATGAGCAAGTAACATCTATGCATTTTATCAACAGTTGTTGTCAGCAAGCAGAACTTTGGTCACGAGGTATCTTCTACATCTCCGATTGCTTACCTTGCTTTGAGCTTCATAATTCTTCCTGTTTTATGCTATTTCTTTACTCGTTGCAGGTTGGTTTGGGAGTCTGACATCCGATAGACCACAGGTTTAGAAGAAAATGACGACCTGAAGCAACTTTTTAGTTAAAAAATGAAATTCAAGCCCTTCGAATTCGAGGATTGTTATAACAATGTGGACCTTATGTTCTTTTTCTGCTAGCCATAAAAGAAGAAAGGAAAGCCGATATGTTTCTTAACATACCTGATCAATTACCTTCATCTTACACGTAATTTTTCATATGCATGACTCATACTCAATCATACAACATCCTCCGTGAAAGAAAGGTAAGAATGTTTAGAATTGAGAAGCCTTGAGTTAGCTAATGGGACCAAAAGGTGGCAACTGAAAGCTGAGACTCAGAGGAAAAAACTTTAAGAACTGGCGAGTGCACTGCAATGGACAAAATCTAAGGCGCACGAGCGTCTGTAAACTGTTGATTGACTCATAAGAATGAGTGATTGATTGTTCGGTTGTGTGAATGTGTGTGTGGCCAATGCTGGGAAACCTCTGCCGTAGAGTGCATTGTTATCTCAATCACATCGCGGAAACAGGAAAGATAGAATCTGAGACAGATTGGAATCGATTCCTACGTTGCTTTTTTTGTCGAATTTACAGTAGCTTTTCTTGCACACCCCAGCAGAAAAAAGCATCCACAATACAAAAGATGACAATCTTAATTGACAAGGATATATGTAAACCTTGAAGAGGAGGAAGGAATAAAAACTCTTAGAACCCCAAAACCTATCAACAGTATTGCATGGGAAGTTCAAACTCCGGAGATGGACAGAACGTAAGACATCATGAGCAGTACCAACAATGCCTACTCTCCTCCTCTTCCTCTTCCTCATCCTCGTCTAACCTACCATGAGCCGCTTGACTTCTTCTTCGGGATTTTTGAGGACGATGATGGTGAATGGGCTTTTGGGAACCCTGTTGCTCCCCTGTACGATAATTTTCAAGACACTCGGGTAAGTATGGTTTCTTTCCCTTTTTCTTTATGAAACCATGTATAGGTTATGACATAAACTATTTTCGTTGCATAATCAGGTTACCAGAACGGGTGCGTCGGATTCAAGGCGACCATTTGAGGGAACGCTAGCACTTGCAAGACCTCCTGGCTTAGCAGGGTAATCGCAGTCGAGACCACAATTCACATGCAGCTTTTTCTTTTCATTTTTTCATGTCATTGATTCACATATCAATCAAATGATCAATACGCATATGTATTTGGTTTAGCATCAGTTCGTATATGATCTAACCGCTAATGTGCCTCGTTCGAGCACAGCCATTACTCTTGCATTTTATTTGTTATCCCTCTCTTGATGATTTGCAATTAATCACCTTCTACTGGTGAAAATTTCGCAGTTCAGCAGCAGCACCAGGTTCCCGAATTCATATTCTGGTCCTTGACGATGAAATGGCAAGACAGGCAAACCCTAGACAGATGATCGGCAGACAATGGAATACGGCCTCCCCTAGACTTGAAGCAGACTCCAGATTGACCCGTGACGAGCAAAAGATGGCATTGCAGAAGCTGAAGAAAGAGATATACAATCCTTTTCGAAGAATATCGCAGAGGGTGAACTTGTATTACAGAGACACAGTTGTGAATGAGGAGGAAATGGAGAATGATGAAAATAGCAAGAGGTGTGCCATTTGCTTGGAAGACTTTGAGCCCAAACAAGAGGTTATGCTCACTCCTTGTAAGCATATGTTTCATGAAGAATGCATTGTGCCTTGGGTGAAAAGCAATGGTCATTGCCCAGTCTGTAGGTTTTCTATATCTCAGTAAAAAGGTCGTACCCAGTGCACAAGGCTCCCGCTTTACGCAGGGTCTGGGAGAGGTGAATGTCGGCTAGCCTTACCCCCATTTATGGAGAGGCTGCTCCCAAGATCTATATATACATATATACACACTTTTCTTTGTACCAAGATTTGAGGCGGGTTTCGAACTTGGTACCTCTTGCAATATCAATAAGGAGAATGAAAGAGCAAACACATAGCTCTTATCTCTTGAATCATTCTAAATTCGGGCTTCTTTTTTTACGCATGATTAAATTGAGGCTTATTTTTAGCTACGCCTTCTAGAACTCAATTTTAATCTACTTTGCTCCTTATAACTCAAAAGTCACAACTTTACTCCCTGAAACTTAAAATTCGCTTCACTTTGCCCCTGGAACTCGATTTTGATCCCAATTTGCTCCTTGAAACTTGAAAGTCGTCTATATAAAACTCAAAATTCACTCCACATTGCCTTAGATCTGTTAACTTCTTAAGTGTGTTTGATTTGGGAGAGCCAGGTTAATCAATATCTTTCTTTATTTTTTCATCTCTTCAATTTCTTGTTAATGTTCTCTAATTGTTGAATGTTGATGCATAATGGAGATTTACAATCAAATTTATTGCACATGTGGCATAGTCTTATTGGGTGTTGGGTCCCACATGTTTTAGGAGGTGACCTACAAATTTCAGAAAGAAGACAGAGTTCACAAGTCAAAGTGCAACGAATTTTAAGTTTCAAAGAGTAAATTGATAAGTTTTGAATTACAAGGGGTAAGGTGAGATTAAAATAGAGTTCCAGAGAGCTTAACTAAAAATAAACCTTGAAATTGATAATCTCCTAATTAAAGATGTGTTGAAGGGAAAAAAATATAAAATTATGACCACCTATACTAAATTAATGGTACGCATGGAAAGACTAAAACATTTCAATACTTGTTGGGGTGTGATATCCATACACCCCATTTTACTTCTCACACATTTTTTTTAATTTTCGGCCGTCGGATCGGATGAATTGAAGAAGATCAACAGACAGAAATTATCAAGGGATATGTGAGAAGTAAAATGGGATGTGTGGATAGCACATCCCTACTTGTTAAATGGTTAGATTATAAGGGATGAATTCCCTTCCTAGATAATCCTCTCCTTATTATAATTTGAAATTGGAGAGTTTTTTATTCCAATCCAATCATGTGTTCCCAATGAGCTCTTATGTTGTCAAGTAGACCTTCATCACTATTGATAAATCCACCACTGCGTTTGAGAAACCCAGATCACTGGCGAACTGAAGCTCAAACGTTGTTGTCATCGCCTCCGTAGCTCCCACAGTAAGGTTTGTTTGAATTAGAATAGCACAGGCCGCCATCAACTCACCACGGTTGTTACGAATAACTACACCAGTACCTCTAAACACCCCATTTTTCTAAACAGCACTGTTGATTACTTTTTATCATAACGACTCGAATTTAGCCGTGCTTAGCTCAAAATAAGGCGAAGTTGGAATTTATACTGTATTTCAACGTTCAACGTCTCATTGATTTTGTATTCTTAGGAGCGTTTTACTTTCACTTATTTGAAGATGGAAAACTGAAAACAAGTTGCACCTATTTGTATCTATTTAGTGATCAGTCCGCTAGTTTTTTTTATCCCACTATAAACTCGTTTGTTAACTAATTTCCGTTACAAAAAAAAAAATACAACAAAAAACTTATTTCCAAATATTGTTGTAGCCTATTTTATCTAACCAAGGGAAGGGGGTTGGCGGCAAGTAGAGGTTGTACAGAGAGATATGTTTGTAGAATTATAGAGGAATGTGTGTGCTATTCTCTCTTACGTAGTGTTTTTATTTATAGTAATAAGAGGAGAAGAATTCATTCATCCCCAAGGAATACAAGTCCATATAGGAAAGAATAACTAGAATCAAATCTAATCTAGGATTTACACAATCACACTTAAACTAGGAAAGTTTACAAAAATCCCCCTTGAGTGTGTAAATACTCAAGGTAGATTCAACATCATGTAGAAGTTGAGGAAGTCAACTCGTCGGCACTGATTCTGGGAACAACGCTATTCTCAATAAGGTAGGAACTTGCATAAAGAAGTAAGTCTCACTAAAAAACCCTATGGCTATAGCAAAAACCCGAGCAGGGACAAAATTCATAGTCTAAGAAAAAATGCATGAGAAATGCAAAGTCAAATGAAACGTCTACGGGATGTCATCAGGGATATGATCAACCTAAGGTGGGTGCCTCATCAAAACCTACGGGATGTCATCAGGGATATGATCAACCTAAGAGTACATTAAGATCAAGCAAGTATTCTTCAGGATACTCCCCCTCAATTTGACACAATTCCAAAGAGAATAGCAATGTAACAACTCAGAAAGTTTACGCAAACCAATTCCTTGAACAAGCTTCTGAAACGTTACATTCGGTAGTGATTTGGTGAAGAGGTCGGCTAGATTGTCTTGTGAACGGATTTGAGTGACTTCAATTTTCTAATGCCCTTGTTATTGATGTGAGAAGAAGAACTTTAGCGCAATGTGCTTGATGCTATCTCCTTTGATGTAACACTTCTTGAGCTATTCGATGCATGTTGCATTATCTTCATAGATCGTCATCGGGACATCCATGACAGGGTAAAGATCGTAAGAGTTTTGAATATGGCCCACAACTGCTCTCAACCAAAAGCATTCTCGAGTTGCTTCATGTAAGGCGAGAGTTTCAGCATGGTTAGACAAAATGGTAACTAAGTTCTGTTTAGTTGACCTCCAAGATATTGCGGTGCCTTCAACGATTACGACATAACACGTTTGAGACTTGCATTGTGCGGATCAGATAAGTATCATGTGTCGACATAACCAGTAAGGCTAGAATCGACTCGAGAAGTGAAGGGTGCGGCATCACTTGAGGATCCGTAGGGACTAACAAGCCTAAATATGTAGTACTCTTAAGATAGTAGAAAATGTCTTTAACACTAGTCCATTGTTAGCATGTTGGTGCATTACTGTATCTTGCCAAAAGATTAACGGCGAAGGAGATGTCAGGTCTAGTGCATTGAGCTAAATACAATAAGGCGCCTATCGTACTTGGATAAGGAACTTCAGGCTCCAAAATCTCTTCATCATCTTCCTTCGAACGGAAGGGATCTCGCTTTGCATCTACCGATCAAACGACCATAGGAGTACTTGATGGTTTCACTTTATCCTCATTAAAATGACGCAACACCTTCCGGGTGTAATTCGTTTGATGTACTAAGATTCCATCCGAATGGTGCTCATCTCGAGACCGAGACATCATCGAGTCTTTCCTAGATCTTTCACCTCAAATTCCAACTTCAGGTGCGTGGCACTTCTTGCGAGCTCTTCAAGAGTTCCGCTAAGGTTCATGTCATCGACATATACTGCAACTATCATAAAACCAGAATGTGACTTTGTTTGTACCATACTTGACCAATCCCGAAACTACTGAGCACTGGTCAAAGTTATACCGTCAAGGACCCAGAAGAGTTTCCCTCCAACCAGGAGGCCAATCACAGCGCGACACATGTCGACATCAGAAGCCAATCATAGTGCGACACGTGTCAACATCAGAAGCCAATCACAACACGACACGTGGCAACGTCAGAATGAAACTAGAAACTCTCTTCTATAAATAGAGATCATTCTTTCATAATATTTCCTAATGTCATTTGTACTAAATCATTCATTAGTACTCACTAAAGGAGAGTTTGAACCTATGTACCTGTGTAAACCCTTCACAATTAATGAGAACTCCTCTACTCCGTGGACGTAGCCAATCTGGGTGAACCACGTACATCTTGTGTTTGCTTCCCTGTCCCTATCCATTTACATACTTATCCACACTAGTGACCGAAGCAATCTAGCGAATGTCACAAACTTAACATTTTTTGTTGTACCAAAGTCCTAACTGATTTTGTGCATCAACATTTGGCGTCATCTGTGGGAACGACACTTATTCCCACTCTCTTCAGCTTTGTTAAGCTGGTTTCCACCATTCGTACACTTTCTTTTGACCAGGCATCCCTCTCCAACATGGGGAGTGAAGGAAGCCACACACACAGAATAACACCCATCTTGCACCTAGTGCGAAGCAACGAAAGAATGAAGGAAAGAGGGTTGCTCTTCAAGCTAAAGTTGATGAGCTAGAAGCTCAAAACAACAAAATAGCAATGAAGAATGAGGTCCTCCAAGAGCAGTATGAGAAGCTCTTTGAGACGTTCCACGAAACTATGCGTACTCAAACATGCGAGCTTGTTGCCCCTATGGACATCAACCATCATCTGGGTGCCCCCCAACACGAAGGGTCACCTTCATTCGACATGGGTATCCCTGATGAGGAGCGAGCTAATCATCAAAACATTGATCAACTTGAGACTTCTCTCAACCCAGCTGCTTCGACCCGAAGCAGGAGAAGTGGAGGAAGACACCTCATTGCAAAAGGGTTGGAAGGATCGAAAGCCGTTTATCGTGACTGCCGAGACTTCCTAAAGCAACATCGAGAGAATCCCCTCCAAATATGCTCGAAGATCAATGACCCAAGGGTTTCTGAAAGACTCGGTCCCCTCCTACGACCCAGGCCAACTGCCAATCTAAGGAAGGAATGACATGTCCTAGAGGAACATGAAGGTACAGGGGACTCTGAGGTATTTCAACAAACTCGCCTCAGAAGTCAGTACGGCGAGTCTAAGGAAAAATCACATGCCCTTGCTCAAACTTTCCTACTTCAAAGAGGCGATGGAGACTTACGAAAGAAAATCCCAGTGGTACTTGACTCCACTTAAGACCCCATTGTCCTACAGCTCATTAAGAAAGTAAACAAGTTGAAGGCCGAACGTCAGGCTGAGATACCTGACTGGAACCAACCCAGGCTTAGCCCTCTCACAAGGAGGATCATTGACACCCTCTTCAAGCGAAGACAAAACAAAAACTTGGTTTATAACTCTATATTGCAAGGGAGGACCCAATTGAACACCTTAACCTCTTTGAGTCCACCATGGCATATCGGATGCATACCGACGAAGAGCGATGTCTTCTTTTCCCCTCCACCCTCTCTGGCGATGCTCTAAACTAGTATTGTCGTCTTCCACCTGAGATAATAGACTCATTTGAGGAACTAAGGAAACTGTTTGTCTCTCAACACATCTTCCAGACCGATCGCTTGCATTCTGCAGATGACTTGTACACTATTCGCCAGAAACCGGACGAGTCACTACGAGAGTA